TATTAGAACAACACATAATAAGTTGTTATTTTCTATTTTTACAAAAACAAGTTTGGAAACAGAATCTAGTCCTCCAGTTTGATGTCATATTCCATTTATTTGGATATTTGAATAAAGGAATGTGAAATAATAATTGAACCTTGTCCAAAATTTGATACCAACACTCAAGTGAACAGATACTATCACCTAAAAATAAAAGAAAACAGAACTTAAATTTGTCATATAATGCTATGAAAAAATCTTAGATACTACAGGCATAATAGTGAGCACAATTCGTTAACAAACTCACTAAAATGAGTTAAGTTATGCTATGATAAGAGGATGGCAATATATGACAACATCAAATGTTACCATCTTCAGTGTCCAAAAAAAGTGCCGCGCGCATTTTTCCCAGCATACCCACTAACTTTTCCATGAAGGTTGATTAATAAGGATAGTTTTAAGCCAGATTTCGGAGAGAGGCAATGGTAAAAATTTTAAGATATTTTTATTTATATGCCATATCACCACAGAATTCACAAAGCAAGCATGCCTATATTCAGGATTGCCGTTAGACTCTTAAAACTGAACAAATCAATACGGCACTTCCTATCTCATAACAACCAATACTTGAACATTTTCAAAAGCATTTTTGCAGCAATTTTTACTTTATAACAAACCAATACAGGAGCAATTTCATAAGCATGTGACAACACGACATTTTCACTTCACAAGTGGATTTGTCAATTACAACATCTAACACATTTTTACCATGAATAGCTCAGGTTTTAATAAAACAAAGTATGATTTAACTTTCATAAAATATATTTTCTAACTAAAGGCAACGGCCAGTTTTTACGAAATTGCAAGAGGAATATGTGTTATTTTCATCAAAATATGTATTTTAAGACACTTATTATTCCAGATGAGGAAGGACAAACAAATTATTGAACATACCTGTGGAAACAACAACAACTCAGCTTCTATCAAGAGTAAAATATGAACACTTCCTTGTTTCCATACTGCTGTACCCTGCTTCTGAAACTCTGACAATGAGTGAAACATTTCCACTTGTCGCCCATTTGTAAATAAAAATTCTTCGCACGTTTTCATGCGATTAAGTCGTTATATCGTTGCGTACAAGCACTACCACTTAATCTTTCAAGAAACACTTTATTTTCCATGAACAAACCAGTAAAAGAGGACAAAAAATCCTCTCACAATGCATATTTTCAGCGTTCGAAGAATCAAAATGTTTGTTAAAGAAATGCGCCCGCAATATTTAGACAGCGACAACAGAATGCCCAGCTGCTCCAACCTATTATATTACGCAAACAATGCGTTTTGTCAACAGACTGGTAACGACAATCAGAAGTTCACATTTTAAGTGAATCGCATTAAAGTTTAAAGTCGCACCCTGGACTAATTTGAAAAAATTAACTGATACAGAATTATACGAGTTCATATCGTATTAAACATATAACTTTATTGTTAAAACTATAGCTTTATTTTGTATTAAAGTTATGTAAATGTATAAATAATGATATTAAATGAGTTTGAAAACTCAGATTGGGGAAGCTGTGTGGTCTGTGGTCGCTTAGGAACGAAACGTTTGTAATGCTTAATTATGTACTTTAAAAGTTTAAATCGTTCTTGTAAACTGCCTCTTACTGATGTAGCCTTTGGACCATCTTGAAAGTCTATTTACAAAGCTTAAAACAACATTCATCTTTCTGTAACTTATTGAATATGAGAATAAACAGTTGCGTGGTAAAAACGGTCTGTTTATAAGTATTGATGGAACAGCAATTTCATGCATCAAATACAGAATACTGTACAACGGACCTCGTCCTCTGCTGCTCCCTGAAAACACGCTATATTTGTGGTTTCGCGGTAAGTAATCTATAAATACGTATGTTAATAATTTCAATTTAACGACTGTATATTAAATAATCACGACCGAAGGGAACGGGGAAAGGGCTAAAAGGCAAGACCAAAATTTTATATCGAATTAATTGCTTATTATTCTTTTAAATATTTGGTGGCTCTTAAAAGAGCCGTTTTATCATCTTTAATCTGTTTAATTTTCTTCATTTTCTTTCTACTTTCCACTGATCCGTCAGGGCTTTACAGTATTTCAATTTGTCCATCAGCAGTTTCGAAGTTGGATCTTTTAACAAGGTTTTCGTTGTCAGTAGTGTACCATTCTTATGAACATGTTGCCGCACGATGTTCTTCAGCTGTTGTTTGATGTTGGTCTGTTCCTGCAGTAACTTGGTTTCCATGACTGGTAAGACGTGTAAGTATTTGTTTATGAGTTCCGTGTTTTGGGGTGAAGCCCGTAATTATTTTCTTGCCTTATCAAACTGCAACACATCCTCGGTCAGTCCCAAAATATATCCTAATTTTTGTCCTTGTTTTGTCTGTGCTGTCTGTTTCATATCGTCTCCTAGAAATAAACAAGACCAAATGTGTTTAATTAAAGTAGGAAAAGAAATATTCACATCCGATTATTGAATTGAAATAGCTATTTAACTAAAGGCTATTTGTGGATAATAGAACAATAATTACAGTACTGTAATACAAATATTGGTACAAGTACCTTTATCCCTATTTTTTGGTTTCATAGTGTTTGCTTCAGAATTTGAACCAGTTTCATTAGCTTCACCCTGATGATCATTTAATTCTCAAAACAAACAACAACATCTTCGGAAACCTCAACTAACCTTACATTATATTCAACATCCACTTCTAGCTCACCTGTTCGTACAATATCATCACAACCAACCACATCATCACCACCTGCAACCACAGCACCACAACCTAACTCAGCATCACAACCAACTACTGCATCACATCCAACCACACTCTCATCAACAACGTCAATATCTTCACTTTCTGGCGTACCACCTTGACCAACAATGGTCCTGCCTGCACATCCAACTTCCATACCTTCCCTCTCCTGGTTTGTATACATAAATACCATGTTACCTTCGGCATTTTCAATCTGAAGTACTTTGACTGGCATTTCTATTTTTTTCTTTAAGCATGTTTGCCAACAGTGCTTTAAATAAGCTTCCTCTTTTTTAAAGTTGCTGGAGCGGAAATGGTGCAAGGTCGGTCCTTGAGGAACTGCTTCAGGATTTCCCTTCGCATCAAAAAACTCAAT